AGTTTTCAACATCAACAAGACCTATGCTCAGCTAGGATCCGATTTCCCAGGCCCCATTTTAGAAACAAGCATAGCTCAAATCCATGCCGAGCTTAAGAGCATTCCATAACAAGTGACAGAAGTTTTGCAAACTATGGTCAGAAGGCATATTTCATGACCTTTAGCCTGAGAAACATCAGGTGGCTTGTTGCTTTGTCCCCAGAAGAGTGGTACATAAAAAAAAAAATCAAAAGGAGTGGTGATGAGTGTTGGGGACTATGGCAGAAATCCTACAGTTGCAAAGATGTCTCCATAAAGAAGAAGGAAAGCCTTAAGACAGTCCTTTAGTCCAGTGGTTCCCAAAGTATGTTCCTCCCTCTATGGTTCTCAACCTTCTGGCCCTTTAAATACAGTTCCTCATGTTGTGACCCAACCATAAAATTATTTTCGTTGCTACTTCATAACTGTAATGTTGCTACTGTTATGAATCGTAATGTAAATATCTGATATGCAGGATGGTCTTAGGCGACCCCTGTGAAAGGGTCGTTCGACCGCCAAAGGGGTCGCGATCCACAGGTTGAGAACCGCTGCTCTATAAGGAATTCCTGTGTCTCTTTTAGATAAGCTGTTCTAGTCCCTCACAGATATACTGGTAGGTATTAGACTGGAATGTTCTCAGTCACAAATGTGTGAAAATATATTTTCAAGAAGATTACTATATAAACTTATTTCACTATTCCCACCAAAGACTAGTAATGCAGCCAAGAAAATTTGTCCTAATAGAAGTTTGCATAAAACTCATTTTTATTTTATTTTTATTTTTGAAACTCATTTTCATACATGAGGTGTCAAGGTAGAAGGAAAAGAATAAATGACAGAACTTTTGATGTGTTTAAGTGCTTAATAAATATTTAATGAATCATTTTATGAGATTCATTTTAAAAGTGTCTAATACATATTGCCAATCATAAGTACATAAATGAAAAAAAGAAGAAAAAGCAGCCTAGAATCTTTTGAATCTATATTTTTCACAACATACACATGTTCTTGCATTATAATTTCTCCATAATATGGTGATTAGTAATTTATATGAAAAAAATTAATATACAGTTATTTGTATACAAAAGTACTGATTTTTGAGTTGTTTTTGCAAAATGGTTGGCTGGCTGTACAAAGGAAGTGCTGTCAAGGGCCAAACAGTGGGGAGATGTACACTGGCCCTCTGGAGGATAAAACTTATAACGTTGGCCCCATGTCTACAGTACACCTACCATTTAACATCTCAGTTCTGCTAAGCAGCATTGCTCAAAAACACAGTCTCCTTCAAGTCTTCACTGAATAAAATTTGTTCTCAGCCAAAACACTCTCTGGAAGGAATGGGAATGGATTTTAATATTTTTAAAGCATTGAAATTTCGGGGGGGGGGTTCCTCTGGAACTTTCTTAAGCTTAAAATCCATTTTTCCCTGTGAGGTGATCCACTTAGTAATCTCTGCTTAGGCAGGTCACTGACTACTCTTAGGCTAAAACTGGGTTCCATTTCTTTTTATAAAGCTCTTGTTATTTCTGTTGGGAGGGCTTGAATGCTGAAAGGGGGAAAGGGGAACTGGATAGCTCAGGGGCCTAGCTAATGTCATCTGATCTCACTTACCCTGAGGCTTTTTTGAATTTGGCTCCTCTTCACACAGTCTCAAAATATGCACCAGCTCTTCAACAGTCATTGACAAGTGGGCTCTGGAGTCAGACTGCCTGAGTTGGAAGCCAGGCTCCTCCAATAACTAGCTGTGAGGGTTTAAAAAGGGTACTTCGTCTCTCTGTGCCTCAATTTCCTTGCCTATGAAATGGAGTTAATTAAGAACTTAGAATAATTTTTGACAAAATTAAATTAGATAATATATACAAAACACTTAGTCCAGAATATATAGCAAGCACTTAATAAGTTTTAGCTATTAAAAAATACCAACCAATGTTACAAAGCACGCAGGACCTTAAGATAACAGAATGGAATGGAGGAAAAGGGATGGATTAAATAGGGGACATAGAGTGTTGGTATAGAAATTAGTTCTGGGTAAAACACAATCTGATAAATTCCTAGACTCTGGATGGACTAGGGTTATTTTCGTGCAGTTTGGGGTCAAGAAAGAAAGAGAGAGAAAAATAAAACTTTGGAAAAGGAGAGGGGAAGTGATGGTTGTGGGGTGAAGGGAAAAGAAGTCCTGAAGTTGGAAAATAAGTGCCCTTGGGGGCCATCTATTTGCTTTCTGGTCTGCTGGCTGGACTGACCTTCTCCAAGTGGGCCACAAAAATCCCCATAATGAAAGTTCACAAAGCAAAATTTCCATGCCCCTCCATGCTTCCATTTTCATTGAAAATATTAATAACTTAAAAAATGTGAAGGTTTCCTGTCACATTCTGGTCAAACCTAATTGTGGCTAATCCCTATGGAGTCACGAAGCTGCTAGCCTCCCATAGAGCCTTGCAACTAGAGCAACTGATATAGCCTGGATTTTTTCCCCCTGGTTTGGACTTGTCCCCTTAGACCGGCTAAAACAGTCTCTGCCATCCCCAGGCTGGGGCATTTCCCCATATCCTACCTTCAGCAAACCGCATTGTCAAAAAGAAAGTCTTAACTTATTAATATGTCTTCCCTTTAGCAAAGAGGGTCTCAGAGTTCCTTTAAATGTTGTATTTCTTGATTTGATGTCTTAATTTCTAAAAAGTAGGTGTGTATATAAAAGTATAACTTTCTATTAACTATCTCACCTGCCTACCTGTAGTTATGAAATGCTATTTTCAGACTCACATTTTGCAAGATCCAGAAGAGTTTTATCAATCATCTAGGGCAGTGGTTCTCAGCCTTGGCTGCACATTAGAATCACCTGGGAATCTTTTTAAAATGCTGATTTCTGGGCCTCATCCTCCGGAAATTGTTTCTTTGCTACTAATGTTGTGGCCCCACCCCATAACAAAGAAACAGAATTTCCAGAGGATGAGGCCCAGAAATCAGCATTTTAAAAAGATTCCCAGGTGATTCTAATGTGCAGCCAAAGTTAAGAACCACTGCTCTAGGGATTCTTACACTGTGTTTTAAAGGGGCAAGGTTTTGTGCGGTGGAGTTGTCAAGATTTGAATTCTTGGAAATACGGTTTCTGTATGGCTCACATCATATTTGAATTAACATAAGAATTTGATCCAGAACACCCGAATTTCTTTTTGTGGAGGGGTGGTAGTGGGTTTTCTCCACACCCATTGACAGGAATTTTTATTTATTTAGCGATACCTGATTCCTCAGACAGGCTGTGGTGATTACAGAGTTTAATGAGTCTCAGAGTTTAAGGAATGTAAAGAGGTCAAGCTCGGAAGTGATAGAGATACAAAATAAACAAAATCCACCAATATAGAGAAAAAGTTAGAAGCATGGGTCAGAAATGGTGAGCTCCGGGTCGTTGGGAAAAATTATGTAGGTAAATCTTCCTAGAGGAGATAGAAATTTCTTAATAAAAAGGAAAGGAAAAGGAAGCGAACCCCCCGCATCACATTTCTACTCCGGAGTGGGAATGGTCTGTGAGCTCCAGGGAAAGTAAGCAGCTTCGGGACATTTTTCTAAAGTGCTCTTTGCAAGTGCAAGTGCAAGTGCTTCGAAATTGTTTCGTTTTACACACAGACTCCTTTTCCCATAAAGCCTTCAAAAGAAGCCTCACTTCTCAAGGGTGAATTGCGTTTAATCAGATTATTTAAACCGTGTCTCAGACCTCCTGCACTTTGTGGGAGAATGGAGGCGAACAGCCTGGGCGCCTGGAAACATTTTTGCAACAAATGAGCAAATGAATGAAACCTAGCCAGAAAGCTGGAGACCAGGAAGGACGCAGGGACTTTTTATGTGCATTGTGAGCGCGGGGAACTGCAAACTTAAGATCCGTGTAGTCTGGGCTTCAGAGACTCAGACAGGCTCTCTTAATCTCCAGCACCTGTAACAGGTGCGGTTCTGACTGAGTGGCCAGGGGCTGGTACCAACTAACTGGGTCCATAAGAGATGAGACCCGCCTCAAGGCGATTTCACACTGATCCTGTTCACACTGCAGTGCCCTGAGCTAGAGGCTTTAAAAGCCGAGCTGTGGTGTATTTGGTGCTCTCTATCCGCCTGCAAAGGGTCTCTCCTAAGTCTGATCCCTGTGCCATTGGCAAAACATTTCCTTATCTAATGATGAGTCTTTGCAATAAAAGGAGCAATAAAGTCAGAGGAGCAGAAAGAGGAAATAGACAACTAGAAAAGTTGCAAGCATTTCCTAGGCAGATTGGGGCGCGGGCTGTTTGAACTGTGGCAGTGCTGTGGGGCCCAGACTGGGAGCTTTGCAGATCAGGACCGGTTTTCCAGGGCTGGCAGCTGCCTTGAAAAAGTTTCCTGTGGAACACTCTCCAGCAGGGGCGGGGGCGGGGGCGGCGGGGGCGGCGGGCGCAGCAGTGGACTTGGGAGGGAGCAGGAGGGCGGGGGAGGCCTTGAGGGGCTGGCTCGCAAACCGTTATAGTCCTTCAGCACCTCCCTCTTGCAGTACACCCCCGCCCACAGCCGTCCTCCCTGCCGCGCGGCTGCCCACCTGGGGACCTGACGCTGCACCAATCCCCTTCGAGCTGCTCAGGGGACAAGTGGGGGGGGGCACCTCCTTGCACCGCCCCCCTCCCCACCCTGAAAGAGGCGCACTCTGCAGGGGCAGACACTGCGCTCTCGCCAGAGGAGCACTCCCCTAGTTTCTTGGTCTTCCAGACGGAAGCTCAGGCTCTTCTCTCACCTTAGCCAAACTTGCTTTCCCGCCTCTTAAACTCAGACTTCCCTCCACTCCTAGCTCTTTTCCGTCCACTTTCCCCTCTTTTATCTCCCACACCACAAATCCCCTATTCCTTCCCCCACTCTTTCCCTCCCCACTACCTCCCCCCCCCCCTTTCAACTCCTTTACAGCTTCCTCCTCAAACACCCTAGAGTGTGCCTAGATTCGTCAGTCGCCCACTCCTGTTCCACTGGAAGCTATGGCGGGACCTGGGGGTTGGAGGGACAAGGAGGTCACAGATCTGGGCCACTTGCCGGTGAGTAGAAGAGACCCATCGCCCCCCAAATTGCTCTCTTCTTTGGGTTCTTCGTCGGGAGGGCACCAATGTCCAAAACCTAGGCTAGGCTGTAATTTCGACAGGACCACTGGTGCGGGAGGGGACCCTGAGAGCAAGTTTTTGGAAAAGGCGCCCCCTGGACACCAGAGCAGCGCCAAACTCAAGGAAAGGCAAAGGTACCAGGGATTATGGAGGAGGGAGAATTGGCGGAGGTTATGCGGACCCTAAACAGTGGACGTTTTCTAAACGTGGCCCACTTTGTCTAGCGGCGTTCCTGTACCTGTCCAAGCTGCGCTCCAGGAGAGGCCAAAGAGGGCAACTTAGTGTGGCTTCCCAAAAGCACTCCTTTCTGTCACCCCGATGCCCAGTCCTGGTTTCCTTCTTGTTTTGCCAGAGAAGATGCCCACTCTCAGACTGACCTTTACTTGTAGGTGACAGCGGGCTAAAAAATTAAAGCATTGGAGTTTCACTTCTCTTGCTTTCTAAAAGCACTTTGTAAAACCTTCTTACTCTGCCAGGGCACTGTTCCCGATTCAGTATTGTGGGAGAAAAGAACTCGACGCCTCTTGAAGAAGTGAATTCTGCACGCTGCAATTTAAAAACAAAAGTATTGCACTCACTAGCTAACCAGATTTTCCCATGGTTTTCGTTTGTGGATTCTCCCTTTTCCGATTGCTCAGCTTTCTTCCAAAGTTGTAATTGATTGGTGAGCTATTATCGCCATCGTTATTACCAGACTTATTGTTTTAGCAGCACTGTTTATTTCATTGGCATCTGGTTTCTGGCAGATACTGGATCCCACCCAAATTCGTTTTTTAAGTTCTCTTTTTAGATTGGCATTTCACTCGCACCCTCTCTTGAATGCGAAGGGCCCCTGGATTCTGAAAGGGAATAAGCTTGCATGTGCTGGAATGATCCCCAGGCAACTGTAGTTCAGGCCTGCTTGCTTTGGGAAAAGCTAAATATTAACCTTGAGGTTATAGGACTATTCAAGGACGCAGTGCCTCAATTTTATTCATATTTGGCATTTAAAAATTGTCTCCTTGGTGGTGGCAGACACTTGTCTCCCTCAAAAATAGGACATTCCCCCAAACCTCAGCTCTATAATTTTACACTATAATGGTGTGGAGCAGGAGGTGATGCACATGAATAACATTTTAGCAAATTGTTATTAGCTTTAAATAAACATGCTGAGTTACAAATATTAGCATTGTGGTTATTAGTGCAGCTTCATAAGACAAAGTCACAGAATTTTAAAAGATTAAATCTTTTTTTCCATCCTGCATGTACCCAGTGCATGCATGAATATGGAGGCTTCAATTGGTAGTTTCCTTTCTGAACAGAACTTTTACATTCCGACTAGATTTGCTCCCAAGAAAAGGTGTTAAACAAACGAATGAAATATAACCCTCCTCCAACATTTTCTGTGTATGGTGGGAGAAAGAGGGGGAAAAAAGCAAACTAGGGCAAATATGTGAAACTACACATGGGGCAACTGAAATAATCTCATTCTAAAATTGACTAAAGAGCGGAATAGGAAGGACCTCATGGAAATAATAGAGCAAGGAATTCCAAACCCAAGGAAAAAGAAGAAAAAAAATGTATTGCCACAAAAAGGGGGGCGGGTAGCTCAGACTAGCTGACCTGGTCATGGCCCCAGAACATAAGAACTTGGTGAGATTGGAAGAGATAAGGAGAAAGGCTGTAATATTTACATTGCAGTCCAGTGGAATATTAGTTTTCTGAGGGTTAGTGGTGGTGTGGAGGGGGAAAAGACAAGGAACTGGTTTTTAATGTAGGAGAGGGATAGGACACAAAACCAAGCATTGATGTTTGGCCTTACTTTATAGACTTCATGAAATCCTCATAAAGTTCTTAACTTCTGACAATTTCTAAATTTTTATTATACAGGAGTAATTTTATAACTCATTTTGAAGGTCTCCATAATCTGAACAAGTTATGCATAATTATGCCCTCTCCTCAGACATCTACCTCTAAATCCTAAGAAATCTAGCAGAAAAGTAGCACCCCTTTTACAATTTCTTGTATGTCAAATTTTTAGAGATGTGATGTTCACTGTTAATTTGGTCACTGGGTCATTGTTTTTTTACTGATTTAGGATTTCTTTTCATTAGACTTATTTCCTGAGTCTCTGAAGAAGGAATAAAAGTAAATGAAAAGGTCAAGCAATATCTAATTTAGCTCTTTGGAAATTTGCATTTTGAGGAAAAGTAAAGATGATAAAGTAAGAAAAAACCCTGCATGTGATGGGAACCCTTTCAATAATTATCCTAAACGGGACATATATGAAGGTTAGAAAGTTGGCACCTGTCATCACCAAGTATACCAATTTGGAAACTACCGTGTAATGGGGGAAGGGGGGATGATTCAGACCTTAGAGTTTCACATTGATAAAAAAAAATTCTTGCAGAGTATAGAATAATTAAATATAGATCTAGATTAAGATTGATATGTTATGTCCTTTGCTGGGCTGGCCAGCTAAATAACCATAGGACACAAAACCTTGAGAGAGGTCAAGCTTCTGTGCAAAATGGGATTTAAAGAAAGTGGTGGAAGGTTTTTTGTATTTTTGTTATTATATAGATATTATTTTAAAACTGAAAATAGTAAGCAAGAGTGAAAGCAGGAGAGGGGTGAGAGAATTGTATAACTTTTTTTGCATGATACCCTACAGTTAGATACATACAGAGCCAACATAATAACCAGAAAAGGACAAGTCAACTATATTTTTGTCTGTTAATTATTGGGTGTTGTAATTTTTTCTGATTAATTATTGAATAAATATCTCATATAGATGGCAAAACAAAAAAGTACAGAGGTTTGTGGTTTGTGCTTTCTTTTTGAAAAAAATTTCAACACTATGTATATCTATATCTATATCTATATCTATCTATATCATCTATATCTATAACTATATCATCTATATCTATGTGTGGATGTATTTTTTCCACCTTGCTTGCCAGCAATACTTGAAGTTCTATCTATCTATCTATCTATCTATCTATCTATCTATCTACCATCTATCATCATCTATCATCTATCATCTTTTCTTCTTAGAATGCCTATGTCACTCAATCTTTGGGACTGGAAACTATTTCTTCATCTCCAAATCTGGCATGTCTTCACTATAATAGTCGCCTTTGCCTTATGTGTCCGGTATGGTAATGACATTCCTCATGGCTGTGGCCTTGGTATTTGACACTGCCATGTGTAGTCCTAATCTATATTGGGGTCAGGATTAGACAGGCCTGGAGGACAGTAGTGGCAGAGGTGATCTGAAATAGCACATGATCCAAGAACTGTATTTGAATTACATTAGGTTTATATTTAAATATAAATCCCAGCTCTCCCAGTCTTCCACAACCCAGAACAAACCTATTTTCCACATTCAGTCACGAGAACCTTCCCACTTTATTAAGTCCCTTAGCCTCCTGTTTTGAGGCAGTTTTACTTTCTTGTCCAGAAGTATTGAAACATTCAGGATAGCCTTCATTATATCTTCTAGAAGAGCATCGCCCCAGCATGACACTGTATTTCAATCTATTTTCTCAGTCTTATTTTCCAGTTTCTAGAACAGTGGATTTTATCTTAGTGTACTAGAATAGTACATAAGAATCATCTGGGGATCTTAAAACTCATCCTCAGAGATTCCAATTTCATAATTCCATGGTAGGGGCAAGGAATCTGTGCATTTTAAATAAAATTTCCTACATGATTCTCATGTAGTGAGAGTTTATGTAGTCCACAGTTTGAGAAACACTGGTCTAGAAGAAGAGATTATTTTTCTAAATTTTCAACTTGAATTGCAAAGCCCATTTCTCCACCTATCTCTGAAACTTACTCTGGCACTTCAGTCTTATATCTGCTATTTTCAGGTTCTCTCTCTATAAAGACTTTTCATAAAATTGCTATGTTTCATATTTAAAACAAAAGAAGGAAAGCCTCAGCTATTCATTCTAGGTACTGTGCAATCTCTTTCCTTCCTCTAGCTCTCTGACTACTGGAATGTGTTCACTAGGTCTGCTTCATTACTGCCCTAAATCAGAAATTTATTGTTACCCATATTGACCACTTAATGGTTCCCTTTTGTTCTTAATTTAATTTCTGCCTTATTTGGTTCTGTCAATCAGCTTCTGTTTCTGAGTCTCTTATATAACCAGTAAACAGTGCCGTCTAGTGGTCCTTTTTCTTCCTGCTACCCCCACCCCTGCCCTTAATAAAATTATCCATCAAAGTGCTTCTTCTTTCTTCTCTGCTTGAATTCAGAAGACAGAAACAAGTCTTCCAAATGCTAGGTGTCAGGGGTGCAAACAGTCCAGGACTTTTAAATTGTAATAGATAAATTACATAAATAAAAAAATCCAGCAAAGTATAAAGTATTTGCCCAACATTTTATGGTTAAAAATATTTTAGTAATTTATTTTGAAAAAAAAATTACAAATTGGAGTTTCTTAATTACTTTTTTTTCACCAAATGGAACACCAAAGCATACCAAACCACCAAATAACCTCCAAATTGATATAGCAGTCATAGAAATAAAGATCTTTCCTCTTCTGCTTTTCTTATCTTGGCATGGTAGAGCAGAAGAGAGGACCAAGTAATTATGGAGACCCCTCTGATATAGACCTTTTTAATTTCACAGTAGTAAATTTAAAAAGAGGTTCATTTTTAATGCTTCCTTCCTTTGGGGGCCCAGAATAAACTATTTTCTAATTATAATTAAGTAAAAACTTTGATATAAGAAAGTAAGTAATATTACCCTGGTAATTAAAATATTTCTTTTTCCCCAGTTTGACAGTCATTTAGTCTTGAAAAATACTAGTATAAAGATGGGGAATGAAAAATATTCTATAAAACTAATGAAAAATACTCTTAGAATAGAGTAGAACATTATGCTGAGATGCCTTTAAGAACAAGAGAAAAACATTTAAAAACTTATTTTTATTAAATGTGAGCATGAAGAGAATTAAGGTGTTTTGGTCATTTGTGAGCAAGACAATTTTTCTATACAACATGAGTATAAATAAAGACTCACAAGAATTCCACAGGCATTTTATTGTCCCTGTCCATTTCCTTGGTGCCTTTTTTGGAGTAATTAGATGCCTGAATTCAAAATTTATGAGCAAGGTACTTATGTCATTGAGAGGTAAAAAAAAAAAGGGGGGGGGTTACATAAATTTAAGATATTTTCAAAGATACAGAAATAAACTTCAGCTAAAATGCAGCCTTAACTATAACAAAGAATGATTTTCCAATAGTAATCAGTTAACATATTTGATTCTTTTGACAGATGGCCCAATGCTCTTTCGCTATAATTGATAATTTCTAATATAAACCCCTCATTGATATCCTTCAAAGAAATATGCTAAAGTAATAAAATCTTCAAGTCCAACCCTAGCAACTCCTCTGTTGGTTAACTTTTTTCCATAAAAATTTCAGTGAGTTATAACAGGAGTGATATGCTTAATATCAAGGCCACTATAACAATATATATTTACTTCTCTTGAATCCTCAAAATTAGTATTTCAAGAAACTTTTGAATTTTCATTGGGAGTATATTCCTTGAACTGTTTGTTTATAATGATACAGTGCATATTGTGACATTGATTTTGATGATGACTTTAATAAAGCAGGCTGCTGTTTTCTATAACAACAGTTTATCAATTCAGTGGAAACATCTGGGTCTTAGAATGTTGGAATCTTAAATTTTTTCTTACAAGATTTTAGAGATAGAGCTGGAAAATCACCTAACACAGCACCTTCATTTTATGTATGTGAAAAGTAAGTCCTGAAGAAAGTAAATAACTTAGACAGAGTCATATAGTTAATTAATGGCAGAGCTAGGGCTAAAACTCCAGTCTCCTGACTCTATCTAGTTGAATACTTCTTGACTGAAGTAATCCCATAATTGTGTCATTTTCCTATGATAGTTTTCCTAGATTATATAAATATCACACCAGTTTAAAGGAGTCTATAATTTCAGTATATACAGTGTATATACTCAATAGTTTTTCTATTTAGCTCACATTTGTCACAGTAATAAAAATGTTTTCAAACAATGTTAAACAAAGTTTGTTTTTATAAAAGGTGCTTTCTATAAGGCACGTGAATTTCCAATAATTTGCCAACACAGCTACCACTTAGTCTATAAACTGGCATATACTTATACCTCATATGAGTTTTGATAAAATAGCAAAATAAACTGCTAGACTAAAAGTTTAAATAGTGATAAAAATGTTTTGTGGTGAATGAGAAAGGAATATCCATATTATAAGGTAAGGAAACAATGTTCAAGAAGCCTTAGGAATTTACCCATAAACACGTTATATTTTGTCTTCTATGATGTCATATTTAGGCTTAAGACAAAATATCAGTGATTTTGCGCCATGAAATGATATGCAAAGATTAGTTTAAAGACAAACAAAACCAACTTTGCCTAGTTTTTTTTAAGTGATGAACTTTTAATGCCATAATCTTGCATTGTGATTCATATTTAGAGATGATAATCTTTCTTAACAATTACTATTATATGAATAAGCTATCTAGATTTTATATCCAGTATGCATACATTGTTGCTGTAATCTAAATATTCTGCCTGTCTGATTAGTACTAACAAATGGACATTAAAAGAGCATTTCAATTGCAAGTAAATGAACTTATTTTATTTTAAGACTAGTGGCCCAGTGCATGAAATTCGTGCACGGGGGAGGGTGTGTTCCTCAGCCTGGCCTGCACCCTCTCCAATTTGGGACCCCTCGAAAAATGTCCTGCCAGTTTACAGGGATTGGGCCTAAACCAGTAGTCGGACATCCCTCTCGTAATCCGGGACTGCTCTGCCCACACTGCAGCCACCGCTACTGCCTCAGCCACTGCCTGTCCAAGATCCATGGCTGTGGGGAGAGGGCCCGCGCCCATGCCCCCCAGAGAATCAGCTGGGAGGTAGTGCTGTTCGCTGGCAGTGGGGCCAAGGACCGGTCGGGGACCCCGCCAAGTGGGCCCAGCTGCAGAGGAGCCTGGATAAGAAGTTGGGCGAGCTAAGCAGCCAGAGGAGGAGCAAAAGGAGGGAGAAGGAGATGTGAGCTGGCCCTCACACCCTCGGGCCTGGCCTTGTCTTTGCAAATGCAAGTGAGAGCAAGTGGCTGTCCATGGTGCTTTCTGTGCCTTATAGCTGCTCGGGTGATGTGACCAGGGCTGCATGAGGGGCCTCTAGGAGGGGGTGGGTCCTCGGGCCCAGCGTGCCATGTCTTGCGCTGGGGTGGGGGCGGGCTGCAGTGGCTGTTCTCTGGACCTTCTGGGGAGAGCTGCCCCAGGTCTCAGTTTTGCTAGCACCAGGGCCCCCTGGGGCTCTCCGAGGTCCCTCGGCAACTGCCTTAAGAGAACCTTTAAGAGAGGTTCCAGGAGTCCAGGTTGCGGCCTGGCCTGCCCCCACCCCCCACCCCCCTGCCCTCGGATCGCCATGGCGAGCAAGGGGCGCAGGCCCTCCCGCCCTTCAGTTGCCATGGTGGGGGTCCGGGGTTGATGCCTGGCCTGCGCCCCGCCCTCCTGCCCTTCGATTGCCATGGTGGGGGTCCGGGGTTGCTGCCTGGCCTGCAACACCACCATGGCAATCGAGGGACGCAGGCCCTCCCGCCCATCAGTGCCATGGTGGGGGTCTGGGGTTGATGCTTGGTCTGCGCTCCGGCCCTCCCGCCCTCCCATCACTATGGTGGAGGTCCGGGGTTGCGGCCTGGCCTGCACCCCACCCTCCCGCCCTTCAATTGCCATGGTGGGGGTCCGTGGTTGCTGCCTGGCCTGCAACACGGCCCTCCCGCCCTCTGATCGCCATGGCGATCGAGGGACACAGGCCCTCCCGCCCTTCAATTGCCATGGCGGGGGTCCTCGGTTGCCTCCTGGCCTGCCCTCCAGCCCTCCTGCCCTCCAATTGCCATGGTGATTAGGGCCGCAGGCCAGCTGGCAACCCCAACTTTCCCATGGCGATCACCCGCTGGGGGGTGGGGAAAGGCAGCCATTGCCCACCCCCCAACTCTTGCCTGCCGCCTGGGTTGCCGATCACCATTCTTCAGTCCTTCCCCTTTTGCCTCTCATCATTGTGAGTATGGCTGTCAGTTAATTTGCATATCTCGCTGATTAGCCAATGGGAAGGCTAGCGCCAATTACCATGTTTCTGTTTTATTAGATAGGATTCTAATTATATTATGACATGTACCTCAACTACACATAAAGGTATGCATTTTACAGTTTAATGATAATTAATATACAGTTACTGTTTCTTTTTTATAAATGACTACACTTATAACAGGGAGATTATGACATGTTTATTTATTTATTTATTTGTTTATTTATTTAGGTGAATGACACTTTGGTTTTTCCCATTCTATGGGATCAAGGCAGATTGGAAATACCATTCTTGATATTTGAATGCTTGCCTATTTTTCCACGAAGATTGACAATTTTTGTTCAACATGTTTTCAGGATCCAACTGGAATATTTTCACTGGATAAAACCATTGGCCTTGGTACTTATGGCAGAATCTATTTGGTAAGTGGAAACAGATTATATATTCATTCTTACTTTCCTAATAACAGCAGTGATTGCAAGGCAAAACCCTACACTTTAAGTCAAATAATACAAAACACATTTCATTTCAAGAAATGACTCAATTAAGATAGCTCAGTGACACCTGTGACAACTATTACAAAAGGAATGGCTTTTCAATCTAGAATGAACCAGCCAATCAAACATAAGATGTAAAAAATTATTAGCAGGGAATTGATTAAATCACCAATAGAAAAGGAAACTAATTAAAATAAGATGTACTCAAATAAAAATATCACTTGTTTTATATTATACCTCCATACCATTCTAAGTACTCACATTTGAAATTTTCAACTGAATGTTAACAAAAAGGAAAATGTCCATAGCATTCAATATCATACAGTGTACATGAGTTTGCACATGTGTGTGACAGGGTTTGCCAAAGAATCTAAGAAAAAAAATTCTGCACTTATTTAGTAATTATTTGTTAAGCACAAAGTATGTGCCAGGTACTGTGATAGTCTCTGGTGCCTATTCTTCTGTGGCTTATGGTCTAAAAATGTATAAGTGATTAAATGTGAGTGTATGTGGTGGGTTGGAGAAGCACATATATAAGTAAGCACACAAATAAATTACTGTATAATTGCAGTTGTAATTTATTTATGTAAGAAAATTCCTAGTGATATAAGAGCATCCAACAGGAGAGCTTATTTTAGATTTAAGGGTAAGAATTGTCATCCTTGGGGAAGTGCTAGGTAAACTGATACCAGCAGAAAAAATATGAGATAACCAAACAAAAGCCAGGTTTATGCATTCTAGACAGAAGCAGGGCAGTGTTAGAGACTGGGTTGGAGTTGGGGGTGCTTTAGTGGCCCTATCACCTTGATCAGATGCCCTTCCCCCACTCTCTAATATGATGAATACACATTTTATCAATCTTGTGTAAGTTTCTGTACAAATGCAGTATTCTTCTTTTCCATGGCCTGTCCATCAAAAAATCATATCACTGCTCCTCGGCTGATCCTTACTGTAGGCTGTATAGAGGTGTATAGGTCCAGAAGAAGGGACTTCCTTCTAGTTCAGACAAGGGTGTCTTATACTTGCCAAGTCTTATACCTTTAGTGCTGCAGCTTCCCAGAAAAGGTTTCTTTTTTAAATTTATCTACTGAGGTTGGGATAGGGGGGTGTCTTTAAAATTTGCACAAAAGTGCTGGTAGCATAGAAGTTGAGTAGTAGTAAAAAATAAAATGATTGTGGAATGATCCTAAAAGCAGAAAGAAACTTGGTGAGTATTAGGAACAGAGAGAATGCCAATATTAATGACACAAGTTTTTTCAAACCATTTTTTCCTTCCCTATTAACAGAATCAGTGAACTATGAACAGTTATGTTAAATGGATACAAATATATTGTTTACGGTACCTCAATTGCCTCTCAGACTAAATGATTAGTTAACATTTGTGTGATATAGGTGAATTTTGCCACATTGTGCATAAATACCTACACCTTATATAAGGAAGTTCCTCTTCTTTAAGGCACAGTTATAATCTCCATGTACCTATACACATTTTAATCCTGAGGTGTGTGTTGTGTTGTGTGTGTGTGTAGTGTGTGTGTATTCTTGTTTTTATTTGAAGGTATAGATCTCTCTATACCACCATATCTTAAGAATAAAAACCTCACTAATATAAGGTAAAAATTAAAGGTAAGATTAGATACCACAAAAATATGGTTTCTCATCATCAATCATCAGAACCATGATGCCATAAAAACAAGAAAAATGAAGAGGGTAAAAAGGTAAGTTGTGCATGATCATTTTTAAAAACTAGAGCTTATTGAAGTATACAGTAGGTCTTCAAATAATGTTTTGTTCAATGTTATTTCACTATAATGTTGATGAAATGCCATAGGAATTTAACTCTTGTTTATATCAATTAGCCTATGATAAAATTGGTTTCCATTATAGTACATCATTTCATCAGAAGTTGGAGAACCTATCAACATTAAGTGAGGACTCACTGCAGTTTGTATTCAGAAAAATTTACTACTTTAAGTGTACAGTTTTATGAGTTGGATACATTCAGTCATGTAACTACCACCAGGATGATTTTTTCAATATGCATCTTAAGTTACACAGTATAGACCTTCAAGTAATATTCTACTTAAAAGAATATCCAAGTTCCACTGAAACCTTTCATATATCAATCATAGTTATATTAAATTTTCTGTTTTGTACTTTGAATATCCAAGTTATCTGTAAGTCTGGTTATATTGATTACTTTGTTGAGAATGAGCTTTTTCTCTTGATTATTGTATCTCAGATTTTTTTTTAATGCCAGACATTATATGTAGAACAGTATTTATGTCTTGAAACGGTCACTCTTGTTCTGTTAGGTCGTTAATATAAGAGCTTGAGTCAATCTAATAATATGAGCTATGCTTTGGTTATGTTGTTGCTATAGTTACCTTCAGTTCACCACCAGCTTCAAATTTCTCTTACCTTGTGCTTAGCATGAGGGTTTGTTTGCTGAATGCCTTTTCTCAAGATTCCCACTCTATCCTCAGTTGTAGACCTTCCCTATGCATCTGTGCCTCAGAGATTCTCTCTCCATGTTCTTATGCTTCCCCTAGTGCCATGGTTGGCAAACCGCGGCTCGCGAGCCACATGCGGCTCTTTGGCCCCTTGAGTGTGGCTCTTCCACAAAATACCACGTGCGGGTGCGCACTATACAGTGCGATTGAAACTTCATGGCCCATGCGCAGAAGTCGGTATTTTGTGGGAGAGCTGGTATTTTGTGGAAGAGCCACACTCAAGGGGCCAAAGAGCCGAATGTGGCTCGCGAGCCACGGTTTGCCGAGCCGCAGTTTGTGGACCACTGCATACTGCTATTGCTTTCATGCTAAGTGCTTCTAAGACTAGTGGTGTGGGGCAGGGAAGTGTTCCCTGTTTCCCTGATTCAGCTTCAGTCATAGGCAATTCCTGTGTTTCTTGGTCATGGGAGTTTGGCTTTATTAGTTATTGTGACCTTCTGCTACTGGTAGGATACTTCTCGATGGTCTAGTAGTCACAGTACTAATTCCTGACCCTCCCCCAGAGTAGAGGACTTGTATTTTTTTTTTTTTTACATTTTCCCCAGCTCTAGTAGGTTTTTTTCCTGCACCCTGGAAGTGAGGACAGGTTTGCTGCCCTTCTCCTGGAGCTTTTATTCCTTGGTGGGAAAGGAATTGGACATGGTTGTATGCTTTTTTATTGCAATGGCTTCTGCTCTCCATCAGGTCATTTCTATAAATCCATGGAGAATAACCTGCAAGTGTGTATAAATTCTTCTTGTATCTGTGGCTCCCAAGGGTACTGTACTCTCATGTCAGCCCTTACTTGGTCTTCAGCAGTTCATAAAAATTTAGCTGAATTGTTTGCACCAGGTTTTGTGCTCACCCTTTCTTCCCCCTATAGCAGTGGTTCTCAACCTGTGTGTCGTGACCCCTTTGGCAGTCGAATGACCCTTTCCCAGGGGTCGCCTAAGACCATCCTGCATATCAGATATTTACATTACGATTCATAACAGTAGCAACATTACAGTTATGAAGTAGCAACGAAAATAATTTTATGGTTGGGTCACATGAGCAACTGTATTTAAAGGGCCAGAAGGTTGAGAACCACTGCCTATAGCTTCAGTTGATCCAGTGCTCTTGTTCCATCTCTCCTTGTAGATGCTTGTATTTCTTCAGATTTCAGGCTAGTTGGTTGCTTTGATACTTCTTTTTAGGCTCAGGATAAAATTATGATTTTGTAGATTATTCAGGTTTTTTGTTGTTGGGGTGGGGGTTGTACTTTTTCTAGTTTTTCACATACACAGCAGGAGCCAGAAGTCCATGTCAATTCCTTGTAATTAGATCTTCATGAAGCATCTACCATATGCTAGGTCCTACACACATTTATAATTCCTAAGAATTTTATATGTACCTATTTAGCTCCAGTGATAAAGAACATTTTCTGCAATTAGATCTTCAAAGTATGCACCTCTGTGTTACAGAAGACAGATGATTACATACACTTTATTTACATTATTTACACAACATTGTTCTGACCTCTGTTTTTCTACCTCAAATTAATTTCCTTCTGTAAAAAGTTTTGGGATGGTGGGACTATACATCATAACCTTCATGGGAAATAATTTTGAGAATGGAGAAAACACTTTAAAAATGTTCATGTTCTTTATACCAATAATCCAACTTTTGGAAATATATGATAAACACCAAAAATACAGAAAAAGCATAAAGATATCCATTTTAGCAAAAAGGTAGTATATTGTGGTAAAAAGGGCCTATGTTTGAACTGGGCAGACTGATTCAGTGCTTACTTGGCCATTAATTAGCTATGACCTTGAGCAAGTCACTTAAGTTCTGAGTATAAATTTCCTCATTTACTAGCATAAGCTGAGCTAAATTACTAGTATACCTACCTTACATTATTTGATAAAATTTAGAAACAATGCATATAAAATGCCTTGCACATTGTAGATATCATTTAAAAGTAGCTATTGGCATCATTATTACTGTTGCTATTATTTGTAAAAGGACAAATTCAGCAAAATCCTAAATAGTAAAAAAAAAAAAATAATAAAAAAAAATAAGATGGAGTAAATTGCCTTATACTCAGTCAATATATCATTCTCTGAAAAACAATGTTTACGAAGATTCTAGCAACATAGAATTGTGCTTATGATGTTAAGTATTCCATACTATATGTACACACTGTTTACAGTTATGTTAAAACATGCACATGAAAAAATGATAATGAGATACTGGATATGTTTATTCTATATTTTTCTATTCTATATTTTTATTGTCTGTAATGTTATATTATTTAAGTCAAGAACATATATATGGCCCAGCCGCTGTAGTTGACCTATAAACTGGGAGGTCATGGTTCAGTTCCTGGTCTGGGCACATGCCAAGGTTGCAAGCTCGACCCCCAGTGGGGAGGGCGTGCAGAAAGCAGCT